CGCCCTCTAAGCTCTCTCTATTAGAGCGACACCTTCGATTTTAAGCTCTTGCTCTATGCGCCCTCTAAGCTCTTACTATTAGAGCGACACCTCCTACTCTAAGCTCTCGCTCTATGCGCCCTCTAGGTAAACACCCTCTAAGCGACGCCTCCTCCTTTAAGCTCTCGCTCTATACGCCCTCTAAGCTCTTACCATTAGAGCGACACCCCCTCCTAGCTTAATACTACCTTCTTTAGCGAGGCTAAGAAGATCGTTAAGGTATATATTACTAACGCTATGCTCCTCCTATCCTAGGCGCTCTATCTATACGCCTGCCATACGCCCTCTAAGTAAATACACTCTAAGCGACGCCTCCTACTTCGAGCTCTCCCTCTATACGCCCTCTAAGTATACGCCATTTAAGCGACACCTAAGCAACGCATTATCTCTATATATACGACGCCTTACCTCGCGCTACGACCTTACCTTACCTAAGTAACGTCTCTTTCTCTCTATATACGCGACACTTACGCGATACCTTCCTTTACGCTCTAAGCTTACTTTACCTAAGCGACGCCTTTTGTTGCCCTCTAAAGACACTAACTCTACTTTCGATAAGCTCGTATCTAGACTAGATAGCATTGCGTTAAGAACATATAGTAAGGGGTAGATGCCCTTAGGCCTATAGAAGCAAGCAACTCTTCGCCTAGCGTCGTAGTAGAGGCAACTTTACTAAAGCGCAAAAGCCCTTATAATGAAAGCTCCCTAAGCTATGCATATTCTTAAGACACTACTAACACCCTATTAGAACATACGACTCTAGAAGTGCTCGCTACATTAGGCCTATTGCATAGAAGTATAGAGTATAACCTACGTACTACCTAGTAGAGATAGTTCCTTAACGATACTCTAAGAAAGTACGCTAGGTCTACTACATCTTTGCCTATAACGATGGCTAGTGCCTATAAGGGAAGCATATGTCTAGGACTGCCCTTTATAGCCATTATATAAAGATAGCATTTATAAGCATATACTAATTAAATTACCCTCTTAAGACTTAATAATAGCCTCTATTAAGTACCTCCTTAGTCTAGATTAGCGACATAAAATAACCTAGGTAAATTTATATAGCTAGATAGTATATAGCATATATATGTATACTTATATTAGTACTATAAAGTTACCTAGGTAAATTTGTACATAGTAAATAGTAATGATTTAAGGTCTTATAATTATATATAGTGTATATAGTAGTATACTAAATGTAACTTATATTATACCTACTCCTCTTCTTTATCTTGCTCTTTAGTCCCTTTAGCCTCTTCGTCTACATCCTCTATATTACTCTCTCTATTACCTTCTTCTAAGCTAAAATGCACCCCCCCCATATAATATGGCACTAGCTTACCTATAATATAAAGGTAAAATGGGTGTTTTTCTCGAGCTTTTTCGTCTATAGGTAGTTAGAATGTTACTATTTTACTAACTAATCGTAGCCTTCTTTTTAGTGCCTCTATAATGCTACTAAGTACTTCGCTAGGTGTAGGTCTTTACGTAGGTTTAAACTTAAGCATATTAGATATAATGTTTTTTAGATTAGTTAAGAAGTTATTAGGCTAGTCCTTTAGGAAATCATCGACGTTAACTTATAGTTTAGTGTTGTAGGTAAAGCGAAGTTAACGTTTTAGCGGCAAATTAGAGGGATCTTAACACTCTTAAATTGGTGCTCTATAGCATATTAAACATAATGCTAGCATCCTAATTTACTATATATTTGTTTTAGAAGAGACAAATCCTATTACTAGGTGCTCTATTATGTTATCTACTCTCTACACTTAGTCGCTATCGAATGCAAGCTTAGGCGGCGCAAATGGTTAGTAGCACCTATTACTAAAGTCATCGCGGTTAATGCTATATAGCCTATCTAATTCCTATGCAATTCGAGCACTACTAAAATTGGCCATCTTCGGTATTAGGTACATTAGAAAGTTGTAAAGATGAGGATCTCTAAATAGAACATTGCTAGCCTATAAGTCCTTATATACTATACTAATGTTTTCTATACTCTCTACTAATTCGACTATGCTTTATAGGAAATGCTATACGAAGGGTTCGGGGACCTAGTAGGGGATTTCTAGTCTACTAACCTTACGTATATAGGGGCGTTAGTAGTTAACGAGGTCGTATAGTGTACTAAACGGACAATACTTAAAATAGAGCTTATAAGTGTAATTGACCCTATTAACTACACTATGTCTAAAGGTCTTTACTATATAATCGATCCGACGGCCTCTATGCGAGAGAAGCTTAGCCTATAGTTAAAGCGCGTTATCGAGCTCGCGTAGGGTGCTACTAATAACGCCTTTAACCTAGTAGTCTTTATTATTAAAGCCCTCCTAGCCTAGGATTACTTGCTTAATGACTATTCTATTGATTATACGGCTAGTGCTAGGGTAAGTCTACACCTAGAGACTAGCGATGCCCTCTCTACTACTACTAAGATAGCCGTAAGGTAACTAGGTCCCCCTACTTAGAAAAGGATCAATAAAAGACTCCTAGACGAATTTCTTCTTAATCTTTTCTCTTATCTTCTTTCTAACACTACTAATTTGCTTAATGAAGGGTGCTATGTCTAGGGGTAATTAGTATGCTCTAAGCAAATTTAAAGTTAGCGTTATAGCCGAACGTAGATAACTATATTTATGGATAAAGGCATAAGGTTCTTTAACATTATTATACTAACATTATTATAGAGCGAAGAATAGCATATGCTTTGTTAAACTAACTGTTTATAGTAATAAATATTCTACCCTAAGAAGATATAAGAAATAGTAACACTACTAAAGAAAGGAAGATGTTTATGTTTGCCTACTATTTGCTTATTCTTATTATATAGAGCTACTTACCCTTGCTTACTATAATTTAGCATCTATGCGAATGCTTTACGTGTTCATCTATCTCTACTTTTAATAATAGGTTTATCTCTATTTCATTTAAACTACTCTAGTATCTATTAAGTCTTAATCTAGCTCGTCTAGTGCTAACCTAAAAGGCTAACTGCTTGTAGTATTATATGGAGGACAGGCATATATCTCCTATATACGAGCTATAGCGTCTCTATTGCTATATCTTACGTTATACTATCTAGTATCTACTACGGCCTATAAGTATACTTGCGTACGTCGAACACTTACTCGATCTCGGTCGATCTAAGCGCTACCGTAGCAAAGGTAGAACAGGACTAGCAGGTTTTTGACAAGTGTTACCTTAAGGCCATAACAATAAGCATAAGGATAGTCTTATAGTATACGTTATGCAACTAGACTATTTGTACCTCTATTCTCTACTATCGCTCTACGGTTTTGATTATTATAGCCGATTTAAGCAAGCTACGATAGATAGTTATAAGCATCCTCGTAAATACATATAAGGTTAGCACTAGTATAAGTAATATATAACTAAGGATCTAGTCCTATCTCCTCCTAAATAGCGGATGCAATATAGATATACTTATTATAAATGCTATTAGAGCCTTCTCGCGCAGGCCATACCTATGCATAATAATAATCGAGAACACGACAGTAGTAATGCGAAAGCTTATCGTTTATGCATTTCTTGTAGGCGTACGCTATCTTTCTTATTAGTAGTAACTTAAGCTATAGTAGAACTATGTTAAAGTTGTAGCCATTACTATAGCTCGTTATATATCTCTAGCCTAATACCGTATCCTATTTATATATAGGGCTATAGAATCCGCTTCCTATAGCATAACGCTCGACCTAGTTATATATTGCATTAGCGTAACGCCTATAAACTTCGTAATCACGATTAGTGTTTAGGTCCATACTATAAGATCCTAGAATAGTAGTGCATAGTATTACATCCCCTACTATATAAGGAGAATTAAGAGGAGCAAATAACTATACGCTAACATCGTAGTACTATAAGGGGTTCCTAGCTAGATAGCGAGCATTATGCTATAGGGCATTAGGTTATAGGACCTAAAGTAGAAGATATAGATTAGCTAGCATTCTTCTAGATATAGTCGAAATTAGGTTATATTCCTATATAGTATAGTAGATAAGGGCTATCTCTATCCTATTTGTATTATTAGGATATACTACATACCTACCTATAAACAAAGACAATGTCTAGTTACTACACTACGAATAGCGTACATGTTTTTTTCTAGATATAGCTTTACTCTATTGTTTATGCTAGCTTTATTGCGTAAAGACTCTGTTTAATAGCTATAATTCATCTAACAATATTGATATGCAGTATTTAAACACTATCTAGTAGAACGTATAGGCAAAACTACCTAGGTAATTTAACACCTATCTAATAATGGTTAAAGTAAGAGAATTAGTAATATATAATTTCATTTAGCATAGTTAACGACTGCCTACTACAATATCTATCTAGCTAACTTAGGTAGAGTAATCGTTATAGTTGCTAAACTTCTACTAAGTCTATACTAGTAATGGACTATAACGTGAGGGCTTAGTAAAGGGTCTAGAATGACCTAGCTTAGTGCCTAGCTTATACTTAATCTTCTACTAGTTCTCGTCGACGTATTAATCTATAGTGTAGTTATCATTACCGTAACGATGCTTAGAGTAGCGCTTAAGATCTATAATAGTGTTAGTAAAGTTATGTAAAAGTACCTAGGTAGTTTTAGACCTACTACACCTTTCGCTATTAGTAGAGTTATAAATAACATAAGTGTTAATGATAGGGGGTTCCTTAGATGCACCTACATTAGTGTCGTTAGTAGTAGCTAGAGCAGCTTAGTCGAGAAGAGGGCTTAAAGGTTATACTTTAACATCGGCTAGGATTTAACGTTAAATAGCATCATCGTTAGGCTTTTCTTCGACGTTAGAGTCTAAGTCTAAGGCTAAGAGCAGCTTATTACTAGATTCATCGAGGGGGCGGCTAGGTCCTATATCTTTGTTACCTAAGAATCTACGTCTAGGAGTGCAACTATAGTCTAGGTCCTTAAGTGTAGACGTAAGTTAACGCTAAAGCCCCTTTTAACTCTTAGTGTCGCTCTCGTCCTTATAGCCTAGAGAGTAGAAGCTAGAATTGCGAGAGACTAGAATAGTAATACTATCTTTATCTTCGTTGCTACTATCTTCGTCTAATTTCTCTTCGTCGCTAGAGTCGCTAGGTTTGTTAGGGTAGTTAGGGTCGTAGTTAGAGTTAGAGTCGCTAGAGTCGCTATCGCGTTTACGACGCTTAAGCTTTAACGGGTTAAGCGAGTTATCGTTGTCTTTAAGGCTATTAGGCATCTCGTCATCGCTATCTCTAGCGCCGTTAGGTAGATCGTCGTCGACAATACTATTAGTCTATCTAACTTTAGCCTTAACTTTAGAAGGCTTATTAGCGCTCTTAGTAGGAGTCTCGTCTAGCTTAGACGAAGAGGTAGCTTAAGTAGAGGTCTCTAGGAACTAGCCTATCTTGCAGATAGATTTATCCTTAATTAACTACCTTTATTAGTCTCCTATCTTTCTAGCGATTTCGTTGTTCTTAGATTTGTCTAACGCAATTAGAGCTATAGAAGAGGCGAGCTTTATAGCTCTCTCGATGAGCGAGTTAAGGGTATGTTTGTTATAGATAGTTTCTATAGGTGAGTTAGTAAGCAAAACTACCTAGGTGGTTTTAGAAGGGGTAAGTGCTTACTAAGTGCCGTTATACGAGTTCGGCTATATATAATAAGGACTTTCTTTACTATAGCCTCGATCTTAGTGCAGCGAGCAATCGTAGCGATTTATTCTATAGCAATTTAGTTAGTAGGTGTAAAATTACCTAGGTAATTTAGTATTAATTGCTTACCCTTAAGTAGATTCTCTACGTTAAGTCGGTCGAATCTACTACCTTATTTATAGGTAGCGTACATTGTAGTAAGGGAGATAGCTATACTAGCCTTAGCTTTACTAGGAAGGAAGTCCTTAGTAGTGTAGTCTTTATGGTTGTCCTATCTGTTATAGTTAGAACAGATGCTAAACTTATAACAAATAAGGTAATAGACAATGCTCTTAGTAATATTGCTCTCTAAAAGGGCCTTAACGTTCTTAGGTGTAGTAAGAGCTAGGTTAGGGTTGTTTACGCTATCCTTAAACTCGAATAGTATGTTAGCTTTTTCCATTGCTAAGAGTTGTAGCATTAGACGACCCTAGTCCATTTATATACTAGCTCTAGTAGTAACCTATAGGATGTACTTCTACTACGCCTTAGCCTAGAGGCATTAGTCGAACGAGTAGTCTAGAGTAAGTACGTAGAATTCGCATGCCTGCTTCTGCCCGATGTAGTAGACTCTGCCCATGCACTAAATTAGGGTATTAAAACTAGTAGGGACATTAATAAAGATGGTAGTATAACAAAAGAACTAGATGTTTAACAACTGCTTAGAGACGCGCATGCTAAGCACTAACACTTAAATCTCTCCGTTAGGGCTATTAAACTTGTCCTATACCTTCTTACGCTAGTAAGTAGTGTAACTAGCGCGAATGCTAGCGACCTTATAACTAAGAGCTCTATAGAACGTCTCTACTAATAGCTAAGTAAAGGGCTAATCGCAGTATATAATGACTTAGCTCTTGTCGACAATGACCCTATAATTACTAATTAGCAGTGAATAGAATAAGGTATAAAACTACCTAGGTGATTATATAGGGAAGAGGGAATAGAATGATGTATAAAATCACCTAGGTGATTTTATAGGGAAGAGGACTTACTTCTTGTATACGATAGTAGCACTTCTAAGCAACTTTTCTAATTCGAAGCTAATATATATAGCTATACTAGCATTATCCCTAAATGAGGGAATGAATTAGTCTCTAGCTAACATCTTCTACATTATAGCGACACCGTTACCGCAATTGCTATATACTAATTTAACGGAAGCGCGCATCTTATATATGTTTTGTTTAGCAGTGGTAGCAAGGCTATAGGCGGCGAGATGCTACATCTAGTAGACGAGGCAAGGATCGAGGCGTCCTTTACTAGTGTCCGAGTCGCTGCCGAGTCCTAGCTAGAGGGCAGAAAGCTTAGCTAGCTTTACGTAGTGCGTGTCGGTAGGTTTTAGTTTAATGTACTTACACTTATATAGCTTAAGCTCGTCGTTTATTATAGCTACCTCTTTAGGCTTATTAGGGTTTATGTAGCCCTCGACTTAGTCCTACATGATTCTATAGAAGTAGTAGACCTTAAAAATGGCGGGCATTATGTAGGCGACAGCAGTAGTAAGGTCCTCTAAGCGAAGGGTAGCTAAGAATGCTAAAGGGTCGAGCACCTATAAGTATAGGTTAAAGTTTTCGTAGAGGCTAAGGGGATCGACAAGTTTAGTCTCTATGCTCTAGAACGCCTTTACGTAGTCGATTAAGCCGTCGTCCTTTACCTAGTCGTAGTCGATGCTAGAGAAGATAAAGCTATCCTTAGTCTTATACGTCTCCTTATACTCCTTAAGCTCCTTTAACTTATCCTCTTATAAGAGCGCCTAAGCTTCCTAATATATGTCGAGAAAGCTAGCATAGTAGAGTAGGCGGAGTAGACCCTTCTAATCGTAGATCTTATTAATGTCTAGTATTACTAAGATTAAGAAGAGTACGTTAGGTTACATTTCCTTAAGTCCTCGGAATGTACGAGTACGAATTCCCTTAACTTAATGTGCCTCGTTAATAAACATTATACTAATAGCGCCTTTAAGCCTACGGTCGATAAAGAACTAGTCGTCGTTCTATTAGCCCTTCTTTTTACTAGGAGATCCTTCGCTATCGTTATCATCTAGGTTATTATCGTTAGTTTTGTACTCGGGTTTAGGTTCGTCGATTAGGATGTCCGCATCCTTTCTTCTCTTACTACTATTCTTACGAAGCTAGGCGACCTTCTACTACTAATAGTTCTATATAGCGCTTCCCTTTATCTTTAACTTAGTAAGGGCTACCTTGCCGTCCGGCGTAATATAGACAGTTCTGCGCATTAAAGTGCTATAGGTCGTAAGGATAATAACGCTAGAAGTCTTAGGGTCGTGTTTATTAAGACCTTTAATAAATTAGACAAGTCCGTTAGAGGTACCTTAGATTCTCTACTCCTTAGTCTTAGCGCTGCTTCTAGTAACACTAACACTAGTAAAGAAGTGTAGGGAGAGTCTACTTAGCGAGTAGTGCTTATCGAATTCTGTCTACTATGTACCAAATGTGCTAGTAGGAACGTTAATTATAATAGGCTTATAGGTAGGAAGGAAAGACCTATAGAGTTTCTAGTAGCCCTTATCTAATGAGTCCTATTTAATACTACGCTTCTTTAAGTCTTTCTTAGCCTTCTTCTTAGTAGTTGCATCTACCTATACATACTTATCGACTTTCTCTAGGTAGTTATATTAGATAAATGAAAGGGTTTCGATAGTCTTACTAACTCCGGTCGCGTTACTAAGTACGCCTCTAGTAAGGGCACTATTAGCCTATGTAGTGTGTTAGTAAACTATGTGTAAAACTACCTAGGTAAATCGAGGAAGCGTAGCAGAAAATCACCTAGGTAAATTTGGCTACTAACTTGGCTTAAATCACCTAGGTAATTTAGGAGAGGAATTAAGGAGGAGAATTAGTGCAAGGGGGGAGGGGCAGTAATATACCATTTGCTAATACTAGGCGAGGCACTAGATTTGATAGGGTTAAAGTGTAATTCTAGTGTCCTCGAAGCCCTCCTTAGGCTTAGGTCTAATCTTTAGGGTCTTAGGGTCGATATCCATAAAGGTATAGGCTTCCTAAAAGTCCGCAATAGGAGCCTTTATTCTATTTATTAAACGGGCGTAGTCCTAGAATGCAAGGTCCTCGTTATTGTCTATAGCTTAGATTACTACCTTAGGGTCATTTTGCTACGCGTAGGCTAAGGTAGCATCCTTAGCGGCTTTCTCTATAGGGACGCTAGGGTCGGTCGAGATCTCGGCTCTACTAGCCTCGCAAAGGTCTTACATAACGCGCTTTAAAAAGCTAAAATCGTTACGCTACTTACCTAGAATGTTAACTTCCTTTACGATAGCGCCTATAGTCTTAGTTAACTCCTTAAGCTTAGCTAGGCTTATCTACGTACGAGATACTTGCTTTACTATGCCATCTAGGGCAGACTTAATGCTATTATACATCTTATTATAGATGTCGTTAATAAGGTCTAATGTAGGTTTCGACTCTTCCTTAGCTTTACTATTATCCTAGTCCTCGTCCTCGATCTCGGAGTCCTAGTCTAAGTCTATGTCGCTTTCTACTACTAGAGTAGTCTCGTTAACCTAGTCGGCAATGTCCTAGTTATGCATCTGCTTTATGGCGCGGAGGGTAGTAAGTAAAGTCTAATTAGTAACCTTATTAAGCGCATGTTAGATAGTAGCATTCGCATCTTCGGTTATTAAGTTCGGGTCGTAATAGGTAACTATAGTAGCTGTCTTAGTCTTGCTTATTCTAGTAGGGCCCTACTAGGCATTAAAAAGTGCGTCTCGGTTGTCTTACATCTTCTAAGTAGTCTTAGGCGTCTTTAGCGTAATAGTCTTACCTTTTATTGCAGCCTTATAGACTATTATAAGCATAACGCGAGTACGGTTAATGTCCTCTAGAGAGAAGCTATGTACGTTAAACCCTCCCTTATTATTAGGGCTATAAAGAATTATTAGTAGAGTATATAAAACTACCTAGGTAATTAGGAGAGTCTATGCAAAGTTACCTAGGTGATTTAGAGGGCTTATCTAATAATTACCTAGGTAATTTTGAGCAGCAATGGCATCTAACTTACTTGTAGTAGGTATCGTAGCTAAGATCGAAGTAATAAGAGGTTGCCTTAATTATAGTAATAATGGTTCTTACCTAGAAACCCTATCTATATATGTCGCTCGAGGGGCCTTTATAATTATACTTCTGCTACTAGATAGTTGTTTGATCGCCGCATAGAGTCTTTAAGTCTATAGCCTTTATTGCACTAAGGAGGACGGATAGGGTAGGCGCATTCTTATATTTAGTCTTTTTAGTTTCCTAAATAGTAAGACGACGGCCGTGTAGGTCCTAGAAAGCGTAGCTAAACTTTTAGAACTTAGGGTTATCGCTATTAGGATTAAGCAAGTCGTAGAGTTCGGCCTATTAGTTTATACGCTAGTACGCTAGGTAGTAGAGACTAAGTAAGTTGTCGACGCTAGAATTAACGAAATATATACTAGGTAGGTTATAGACCCTAGAGAAGTCTATATTAAGCTTTTCGGTAGCGGTCTTAATAAGACTAGCCTCTACTTAGTCCCTAGTTTGCTTAGCAC